TCCTGCTGATTTTAAAAACAGTTACAGATTTGTTTGATTAGGGAAAAGGGCTTTAGTAAACTAGGTGTTTTAGTCTAAAAAAGCTTTAGTAATTCAACTAGTTAATCCATATGCTGCCTTTGTTTCAGAAAGACAGATGGAAAACAGCGTGTGAAATGCTTCTAAAGTAGGAATGTAAAATAGGAAATAGGAATGTAAAATTCTGTTGATTTTAAAAACAGTTACAGATTTGTTTGATTAGGGAAAAGGGCTTTAGTAAACTAGGTGTTTTAGTCTAAAAAAGCTTTAGTAATTCAACTAGTTAATCCATATGCTGCCTTTGTTTCAGAAAGACAGATGGAAAACAGCGTGTGAAATGCTTCTAAAGTAGGAATGTAAAATAGGAAATAGGAATGTAAAATTCTGTTTAATTGGTTAAGTGGCTAAAAGTAAAGTTTAACCAGTTGACCAATTAAAGGAGGAGTGAAGGGGGGCATTCCAGCCTTGCTAGGCTGGATCAACCCGCCCCCTCCTGCTTCCCCTCCTCTGCTACAGGCAGGGGCTGCTCCAGTCCCTGCCTGTGGTGCAGCTGCCATGGACAGGGGCTACTCCATCCTGGATGGAGCAGCCTGTGTCTGTGGCAGGCCTTGCGGGGCTGGAGGAGCCCCATTGCCCATGGTGTGTGGGGAACTGCTTCAAGCTCCCATCGGTTAACCAGAACTGGTAAACATCACCTGTTAAGGGTGATGCTTACTGGTTAACCAGTTAACTTTTCAGTTCCCTAAAACCCAACTCGGCATATTGGATTAAATACTTGGTTTGGTATTCTGTCCTCTTATGTGAAGAGGAAATCACAAACATTTTGTCCCATTTTCCAGTTACTAATCTTCAATCTACCTGGTTCTCCATGCATAGTTCCAACCATTTTTTTCATTCCGTTGTATATCAATAGAACTGATATGCAATCTAATTTATTTATATGGCATAGAGGTTTACAGCCTTATTTTAGATTTCAGTTTTAAACATGCCTGTTTCATACTCTAGGTGCCTGTACATTATTTCAGAAGAAAATTTTACTGGGAAAAGATCTGTAAAACATCCTATTAATCAGAAACAAAATCCATTGCTTAAAACCCAATGACATCATCCACTGAGGAAAAACCTGAGGGTGGCATGAGCTATTAATTTTCTAGCATTATACACCAAACTGTTATCTATTTATTTGCTACAAAGTACAAGTGCACTATTATCATACTGTAAGAAGCATTTTAATGATGAAAATTGACTCTACAATTAGATGATCAATTAGTGGGCTCGTAATATTCCAACATAAAAACTATACTTAATCCTTACATAGACATGGAAAGTAGTCCTATTGCAATAATGAACCAGGACAACACACTATCCTATTATATACTATGTTGATGATGATTTGTACTACAGTTTGGATCCATTCTCCTGAAACAGACCTACTATAAATTCAGAATATGTGTCAAGGTATATATTTGAGGCAGCTTAACAGACATTACTTAACTCTTAAGTCATTATAAATAAAAGTAAAGCCTTATAAGATCTGGGATCTTTAGGGGCATTGTACAAATGGGATTTAAATTCTCTCTCAAAGCTTCCAATCAATCCTCTTCACTATGGAAGCCAAAGTCATCTAGACAGACAGATATACTTCATATCCAGTGTGTGGAATTCTGTATGGTCTTACAAAGGTGCTTATGTCACGAAAGGACTCTGTCAGAGCAGACATAAATCCCTTATGAAGGGCTCAATTGTTTTTTGTATAATTGCAAGCTATATACTTCCTTCTCCTGTGCTACTGATTCAGTTTTCAGCTAATATTAAAATAACTACAGTAGCAAAAAGTTCAATAATTTAAGCGTAAATGAAGCTATTTGATGTCTTTTCTGGAACTTATGAAGGCGATCCCTGAACAAGGATCCAATTCTCATCTCACTTGGACTACACCAGTGTATACCCAGCACAACTGTCAGTAGGGGACTGACTCCTGACTTACATCAGTGTAAAGTGAGAGAAGAATCAGGCCCTACCACCTAATGGTGGTAAGAAATATTATTCCCCGAGGGTATGTCTACACTAGCCCCCTAGTTCAAACTAGGGAGGCTAATGTAGGCATTCGAAGTTGCAAGTGAAGTCTGGGATTTAAATATCCCGGGCTTTATTTGCATCTTCCCGTCCGGGCGCCATTTTTAAAACCCCTTAGTCTGAACTAACTGCCCGTGGCTACACGCGGCAGTCAAACGTTAACTCGAACTAAGTCCTTAGTTCAAGTTAACTGTTACACCGCGTGTAACTAAGGACTTAGTTCGAGTTAACGTTTGACTGCCACGTGTAGCCGCGAGCAGTTAGTTTGGACTAAGGGGTTTTAAAAATGGCGCCTGGACGGGAAGACACAAATATATTTAAATCCCGGGCTTCATTTGCAACTTTGAATGCCTACATTAGCCTCCCTAGTTCGAACTAGGGGGCTAGTGTAGACATATCCTGACTGACAGGCTCTATGCTATTACTCAGAAGAAAATGAACAGGATTAACCAGGTTAGCTAAATAAAAAATATATACAAAATAGCCAACTAAAATGTTAATGTTATCATTCTGTGCCCCAAAGTCATAATCAATAAACCTATTGCCCATGTTGAAATGTGACTCTCATACAACACACGTTCCACTTCTGTTGAACTGAAGGCCTCCTCTGGCTCCATCAAAAGAAAGATTAAGCAGGAATAAGGTGCAATTCTCCACATCCACTGTACTGTGAGCAAGAGAACAAAATGGAAATACAACATACACTTACTCCACAACTGTAACTAAACTTAACTGGGAGACCTAAGTCAAAATGAATTTAAAGTTTTTAATATAAAAAAAACCCAAAATATGTAGTCAGTTCACTACTCTGGGCTCCCACTTATTTCACAATTAATTATTTCCTCATAGTAAACTATGCCACATTTTGATTTTGCCTCAGTTAGGATTTCATAATTTTAAAAGCTAATATAAAGATGTGCCACCGTCTTTTCTGTTATTGTTCCTTTCACTTCACTTTCTTTACAACCTTTAGAAATATTTACTCTGGATTTCAGGACAACAATCTATTTTCTTGGCCTCACATATGCTGAACATACCTTAACATAGTTCAGTGTCTGCCAGCAAGAAAAACGTCATACCTGAGATTTTGTCCCAATTTCTATGTGTGAGTATAAATCCCAATCTGATATAATTATTCTACCCTTTAAAATCAGAAGTAGCATTATAAATTGTTTTCTGAAAGCACCCATCACCACAATATTTAAGTGCATTATCAGTATAACAAGGTTTTATTCTTTGCTCACAAGTCAAAAAACATGATATTTAGTACTTCAAGAGGCTCTTCCATTGAGGCACCCATTCCTCTGCTTTAAATGGCTAGTTCTTCTTCAAGTGATGTCCCCATGGGTGGTGGCTCCACTGTAGGTGTTGGGTCACCTCAGCGCCATGTATCGGAGTTTTGCACAGCAATAGTTGGTTGGGCCGCACATGTGTACCAGGTACCTTGTGCCATTCACGCCTGTTGCTTTGCGCGCGCGGCCCAACCCCTCCTCAGTTCCTTCATTGCTGCCCTGGCTGTAGACAGAACTTCAAGCTGCCCTCCTCAGAGAGCTACCTCACAGTTTTAACTGCTTCAATCAGTCCTTTTTCTCCTTAGTTTTTAACATTTTTCAGCCTTTTTAAGCTTAGTCATTCTAGTTCTATGGTTTCTTTTTGTCTGATTTAAAAAAAAAAGGAAGGGGGAAAAAAGCAAGCCTCAAAGCCAGTGGCTCTGCCAAAAAAAAAAAAAAAAACAACCATAATATTCTAATCAAATAAATAACAACAATAATGTACAATGAACTATGCCCAGCTCCCCAGGTTTCAAGAAATGCAACACATGCCGAGAGGCCATGCCAGCCTCTGACGGATACTCCTCATGCATTTGCTGCTTTGATGAAGGACATATTCCACAGAAATGTCTTCACTGCAGCAAGCTAACAGCCTGGGCTCGCAAAGAAAGGGAGCTGCAGCTCATGTGCCTCTTC